CCTGAAATTGTGCATGTTTATGAGACAGACAAAAGACACCAGCAATCCTACCATCATGTAAAACAATTACAGGCTTTCGTTTCACACTCGCTTGGAAGAACGGTAGTACCTCCCTGGGCGGTTGCTGTCTACCAACCTACTACCTTAAATATATATATATATATATATATATATATATATATATATATATATATATATATATATATAATATATATATATAAATATAAATATACATATTATATATATAATTTATACATATATGTATAATAATATATATAATATATATATATATATATATATATATATATATATATATATATATATATATATATATATATATATATATATATATATATTATATATTATATTGCAGTGAAGAGTGTATGAGGTAGGGTAATCAACAATACTGAATAAATTACCATGGATCAATAAGTGAGAGAACATAGCCGATGAGATGTAGTAGTGTAATACATAAAATACTGAAAGTAAAGACAATATAATGCAAAAGATTTTAGTGAGATTTCGCTCCGCTGAAGGTTAACCGTTATTCACCTTGACCTAAATGGCGTCTCAATAACAAAGTGTTTTGCATTTTGTCTCTCTATATCCATTGGGTTCTAGTTCCCATTCTGCTAGTAGCTGGGATTACAACTACATTTTATCTATCATTAAAATGTACGGTAATGAGTTCTTGCATTTAGCAGTATTAGCCCAGTACCGGAGTGTGTAGTCAGGAGACTTATTTCCTAATCTTAGTTATATGTGCACAGATTTACTTAACGCACCTATGGTGACCCATTACTATCATATCTGGTGTGCATAAAGCAACTGTCAGTTCCTCTGGTGATCCTTGACTATCAAGTAAGAAGTATATATTGTACTTCGATTGATCTTTGTGGAGAGTGTGAAGAAATTTATTATACTCTGGTAATTCATGATTTTTAGGGAAGGTTTGCACAAAGTAACTAACTGAGCCTCTATTGACCCTTGACTATTACATAGGGCTTTTTCCAAGTGGTAGCCCGGCCTTGGTTCCCTGTCTAGGGAGTGTCTGAAACCTAAGTCTCCCATGGGAGTAGGCACAAGTACCCCCTCATCTTTGGGACCAACTGTCCCCAGGCCTAGTCACATTCCCTGCCCTCACGGGGCTCATAGGGAGATGCTAGGCCTCTCTGGTGTGCCATCCGCGCCCCAAGGGGGCTAATGGGAATGGCAGGCTTGTGAGTTTCAAGCCCTGGCTCAGGCACCTACCCTGCCCTAGAAGGGCTGGGCACGGTGTCGATGACGTAAGGAATTAAAACATGTATCTAATTGTACCTTTCACTGAGGACTGCTGAGGTAGGTGTACACAAAGTGAACCTGTGAAGCTTGTGTTCCATGACACGTGTACCAGACTGACTGAACCTGGTGTTCCATGACACGTGTACCAGACTGACTGAACCTGGTGTTCCATGACACGTGTACCAGACAGACTGAACCTGTGGACCTGGTGTTCAATGACACGTGTACCAGACTGACTGAACCTGTGAACTTGGTGTTCCATGGCATATGTACCAGACTGACTGAACCTGTGAAACTGGTGTTCCATGACACATGTACTTGGCTGACAGAACCTGTGAAACTGGTGTTCCATGACACACGTACTTGGCTGACAGAAACTGTGAAACTGGTGTTCCATGACACGTGTACCACACTGACTGAACCTGTGAACCTGGTGTTCCATGACACGTGTATCACACTGAACCTGTGAACCTGGTGTTCCATGTCATGTTTACCTGGCTGACAGAACCTGTGAACCTGGTGTTCCATGATACGTGTAGCAGACTGACTGAACCTGTGAACCTGGTGTTCCATGACGCGTGTAGCAGACTGACTGAAGCTGTGAACCTGGTGTTCCATTACACGTGTTCCAGACTGACTGAACCTGTGACCTGGTGTTCCATGACACGTGTACCAGACTGACTGAACCTGTGAACTTGGTGTTCCATGACACGTGTACCAGACTGACTGAACCTGTGAACCTGGTGTTCCATGACACGTGTACCAGACTGACTGAACCTGTGAACCTGGTGTTCCATGACACGTGTACCAGACTGACTGAACCTGTGAACTTGGTGTTCCATGACACGTGTGCCAGACTGAGCCTGTGACCCGGTGTTCCATGACACGTGTACCAGACTGACTGAACCTGTGAACCTAGTGTTCCATGTCACGTTTACCTGGCTGACAGAACCTGTGAACCTGGTATTCTATGACACGTGTACCAGACTGACTGAACCTGTGAACCTAGTGTTCCATGTCACGTTTACCTGGCTGACAGAGCCTGTGAACCTGGTATTCCATGACACGTGTACCACACTGAACCTGTGACCCTGGTGTTCCATTACACGTGTTCCAGACTGACTGAACCTGTGAACCTGGTGTTACATGACATGTATACTAGACTGACTGAACCTGTGGACCTGGTTGAACCTATGAACCTGGTGTTCCCTGACACTTT